TGAGTTGTATCATTATTTCAAAGTACACTTACAAAGAACATTAATGAAAGAAATGGTCTGGGTACAATACGTTTTAGACAGTATTTGAGGTATAGTGTTGCTAGACACAGAATATAATTGACTCAATCCATATCTTTTGTTAAAAAAAATTAAAAACAAAAACAAAAACACACACACGCACGCACGCACGCACGCACACACACACACACACACACAATCAAACGGCTCACTGATTCGCGCGTCAGCTCGCGTGCGTGCGTCATTGGCGTCGCGTCACGCGCGATGTGAATAACACGCTGATAAAGCGCTCACCTTCCTGACGCTTTTATAGATGTAGAAGTAGAGCTCGCGGCCCACATTGAAGCAGATGCGCTCGCCGTTACCGGACTGATCGTTGACGTTGACGAACGAGACTCTGACGGGGTTGGAGCCCTGCGAGTTGAAGGGCACTCGGTTGGGTCTGCTGTACTCTGAGTGCGTGAGGAGTTTATACGCGCCTTCCCGCGTGCTGAACTGACTCTTGATCTCGTTCATCTCCTTCCCTCCTCCCTCCGCCGCCATCTTTGACATTTACATTCATCCTTCCGCAGCCGGATCTGACGCGCCGCGCATGCGCACTAGGCTCCTCAGCGCTCGGCATCGGTCCGGTGTTCAAGACGAATTTACTGGAGGATTTTTATTTTATTTTTATTTGTTTGTTTGCCATCGTCACCTCAGAAACGTCCGTTTTTGTTTGTTTGTTTTTTGATATGTCTCTTACAATTGAACCAAAAATCAAGAAGAAAATGTGCTTTATTGCGTGATAAAAACAACGAAAAAACATGACAATGCATTAGTAACATGCACATTTACACACATGCACATGCAATTCAAAAGAGTAAAAAAATAACGTCACCCATCAAATATTAGCGATAGCTTTAAGAAATGTAAATATTATATATATATAGTTTATGGTGGACAGTTTCTCTCCCCAAATACACTAATTTATTGTCCAATCCGTTCTCACATTCATAATTTTTTTTCTTCTACCAATTATTGTGTGAAAATGATTGGTAGAATAGACGTCTGGAACAAGATTCCTAACGATTCAATAATTTTCCATATAAAATTCCATCTGATGTTTAAGAATATTTCTCGTGGTTTACCATTTGATTAGCTTCAAACCTGAAGAAAAGGCCTCGACTGAAGCCTAAACGCACACACACACACACACACACACACACACACACACACAC